TGCATGTTGCAAATGCAAACAACCTCACCTTATACCTGTCACGCTCACAAAGATGTATCTTGTAAATTTTCAGGTTTGCTTTTGTGTTTAAAGTTTTACAATTAGACTTTGTAGTGCTGAGGCGAGAACACGGTAATCGATCTGAACTGATCAGTGGGCAGGATTCAAACTCTCGCCCTTTGGTCGTAAGTCCACTGTGCTTACCACTGAGCCACCAAGGCTCCTAAAAAGCACAAGAAGTAAATGATGACACTCTTAATAGCTATACTTACATGATGCAGAAAAGTAAATAAATAAAAATGGAAATTACATTGGACTAAAAAATATATAAACCAATGAAATATGGCGATCAGTAGGGATTTTCTCTTAAATGGAAGGGCATCTGCATGTAAATATACTAAGGTGACCTGAATTTAATGCTTCTAGAGTTTATTCTCTAGCATGAAATTTGAAATAAATGTGCCACAAATGAGACAAAAAAGATTATCAAATGAAAGAAAACAGTGATCAACGATTCTTTCTGTAAATATTCAGTTTTTAACTGAAAAACCCAAGCTATTGAAATATTTTTGAATTAATGCCCCTACAAGCAACAAGCAGTTAAGAGACATTAAAAATTAACCAAGTTTTGTAGGCACAGCATTTAGGCTTAAAATTTAAATGAATAAATTACTCCCTCTCTTGTCATCGTTCTCGAATTGGCTGGTAAAACAAAGCAGTTATGAGTTTTAAGCCATTGTAGTTGTTATAAAATCCGCATTGTCTAGTCATATTTATCAATTGTACTGAAGCATTAAATCTTGCTCTTGAAATAGGTAAAACACCTGCCAAATGAGCGTTTTGGCACCTCTTCATATTGTAAACATTATTGTTCCTACATGGCAACGAGCACCATAAAATTCATTCTGTTTCACGAAGATAGGTGAACTTTATTGCTGTATTACCCTCTACGTTGTACTGTGGAAAATCATCTTTCCCAATATGCCTTTCCATAATTTTATGTAAACAGTCAGACCTGACGCCGTTGACCAAATATAGTATGACTAAATTATTTTTGTAACATTGGTTCAGTTACATTCCAAAATATAAATCCGTTTTAGTTTTCCTATTACTAACATGACCAAACACTCCCAAACTACAAATTTCAGGTCAAGCGATTTTCTGGTCGCAGAGCTAAGAAACACACCCCTAGTTTATCATCGTCCCAAACTCCAAAGACTTTATTCTCCCGATAAAGCATATAGTAGAGGCATATTGCTTCTACTACCGTTCCTGCTTTTGTCATTCTTGTCATTCATACTGAGTGCCTTTTTAAAAAATGTATGTGAACTGAAACTAAATTTAATAAGAGGCGTTAAAGTAAAAGAACATGTCAAATTTGCATTTCAAACATTTTTGGACAAAAATGTACATAGTTATGTCTCATGTTTGTTCAGGAGCTTGGCTCTGCATACTGAACATAACTTTCTTTAATTCAGCCATATTTGCAACATCTAGGTCTTATGGGCGCATTTGAAGTTTTCATCAATTACATAAATACTGCAGACTTATATGATTCTTATAAATATTAAGGGGCAATCTACAAATATTATGAACTTCTGAGAGAGTGACAGGAATAAGGTGAATTTGGAGAGAATGTTGGCAAATCTCTATGTTATTTTGATTTACTGTGGCTGAAATTTCATTGGATATTGGACTTATGGAAATTATGCATCATCTAAACACACAGCTGACCAAAATGACTGCTTCCGTATACACTGTACTAAAAAGACCAACCTGAATTAGTCTGAAGTACTTTATTGGTTACAAGTTATGGAAGTTGTTAAAACGAATTTCGCCTCACAACACAGCACCAATTTCTGCAATTACAATAAATGAATATCCAAGAATATCAAAATATAAAAAGTATCCGCTATTTTGTTTTATAAATTACCTTTTTTGAATTCCAGGAATGGAAAATGAGCAAGCGGAGCTAGCAGCTTTTGATTACATTCACATCGGAAAATAGACCCAATTGCATACTCAGAACTTAAATTACACAAACAACCATATACCAAACTAAATGGAATTATAAAGTTCTTTTTGCATTACTTGAGATATAAAGGATCTTTTCTTGTATAAAAATATCCAGTATAACGAGTGAGGTAAACGGCACTACTATTCATCAACAATATGGGCAGCATGATGCTCCTAGAAGCGTGAGGCCCTGGGCAGCTACCCAGTGTACCCTTGCCTTAAGACGGCAATGAGAATATGTAGAAAGTACTTTACCATCAAGACTGGTTTCGATTGTGACTTGCTGAGAGGCATAGTTTTTATTTTCTTCATATAATTGCAACGAGAGTCCTGTCAATCATACGAATAGTATGGCAAAGGATTGGTTGTACAGTATTAGATGTATACAAATAAAACTGGGTTTCGAGCAAAGATTGTCTCAATGACATTTTCTGTAAACATTTTTAATGTTGTTAAGACGGCACTGCACATTCTATTGTCCAACTGCAGATGTTTTTTTGTGTGGAAAGTTTCTTATTCTTAACCAGCGATATAATTTGTTCGATTTTGTCCTTACCAAACGGTGAAATATTGGGGTGGAGGGCGTATTATTCTCATCTCCAAATGTAGAATATTGAATGGTTGGGGTTTATTCAATGCGAGGAATGGGTGTGTAATTCTCTTTCAGCGATAGAATATTGCTACTGGGGGTAAGAATAAGTGCAATTAAACTTGTTCACTGCTAGTTTCTAAACAATAGTTATTTTACAAGTCAGAAAAAGTACTAAATTTTATTAATGTTTGTTTTGTCTTTGAGATTGTTCTAATTTGCTTCATTTATGATTTTAATTTACTGTATTAACTGAACTTTATGCCCTGCAACCTTAACCTCTAAGTTTGTCACCAGACTGTATCCAACTTAGTTGCAATTATATTTTTTCCACAGTGTTAATGCATGATTTTGTATCAGTCTGTTCTGTTCTGTAATGACTAAAATATTTACTGCTAAGGCCATGTCGGCAAAGTCTGCAGCAAAATGCACAGAAAACACAGTAAAGTGTCTGTTAAAAAATGTACAAAACTCAGTTAGTCATAAGGTGATGTCGGTAGAGTTCCTGTTAAAACTACACAAAAAAGTCGTTGAGTCAATAAGGTCTTGTCCATAAAATGTTTAAAAAATACAATAAAAGGATATAATGTTACAACAATGTCTATCGTTCTAACTGTATAAACATTCGTTTTCACTTGTAATGACGATGTATGAAATAATACTGGCATGGACAAGGTTGAGAATGTTAAGGTCGGTGCCAGCATGAAGACAGTTAACTCAAAATAAATAATGTCCACGTCAGAGAAATTTGCCGTTTTTACATAAATTACATTGCAATCTCGTCTACAGATTATTTCAGGAATAAAAAGGCAATCATTCTGTTTGCACTTGGAGGTTAAATAGTACAATGGAGGACCAAATTTAAACTTGTGAATTGCTATTAATGGCAGAGGTGTCTACCGAAGCGCTTGTTCAAGGCAGATAACAATGACCTTGAGAAAAGAAGAAGAATCGGTTACATAAAACAAAGCGTGGACGTTGAAAAATGTGTCTGAAGATCATAATGCCTTTGGGGAAATTTAAAGAATGTCTACAGAATAATGTAAAATTAGTTTCATACAAACGGATGCTATGTCATATAGATCAATGCAAATTTTCACAAGAAATACGCTGGATCTTAATTAAAACACCAATTAGAACTTTATTCATTAAGGCTGGTAATTAACCTTTGGACTACTTGGGATTTTTTTCGCGTTCCTGTATGTTCTGTTTAAATTTGTTACTTTGTAATTCTAAAAAAAAAACATGTTATTTTGTTTTAATTTTACGCAACATGTTCGTTTTCGCTCATGCTTATTTTAAAAAGACCATAGAGTAGTAATAGGCATTGTCTGCAAACGGACAACTGGGCAGACCGAGTAAGTCTGTTGTTTATATATGTTTTTATGGTCAACGTCAAAGTTGTAAATAACGTGAAGTCAAGTAATAAAATGGCTCACGAAATCCTGAAAACAGAAAATAAAGGCACCAGTAATAGATGTGAAATTTATTTTCAACGCAAATAATTTAAATCGCTTTTCTCAAAGTTCAGTACAGCAAATAATATTTTTCTTTCACGACAATACTAATAAGATATTGACAGCAATCCATTATTGAAAACAGCGCTGCCTCTTTTGCAATATGAGCTTTTAGGGAAGGTAAATTTGCAACAATCACTGTATAGAGGATTCCTATACAAATTCAATATGGCAGAAAGATAGTAATAATTTTAATCGGTCTGCAAGAATAGATATGTATAATCTGAGATTTATATGGTTTTGGGGTGAGAGCATTAGGAAAATCGGAGGAATTAACAAACTTTGTATGGACTAAGAACACAAAACATCGAGAACACATATGCAAAGTGGTTATATACACGTTCCTATTAATATATTAACAGTCGCAGGTATGTTTGAGGTAGCTTGGACAGATCTTAATGATTGTCAGTAAGATTTGGATATCTTATTGATAACTCTTTCGAATAAGTTTTTCGTACTCTGCATATATTGTAACAAGACAATTTATTATAAGTTCTCTGACATGACAGTAATTACGAACAGTTATTGTAATCGTAATTTTGCCCATGCTAATTGTTTATAAAATTAAATGCTCATTGTTTAAACTTTTTAAAACTTAATATGTAAATATGAATGTGCAAAGATTAGATTGTGATTGTGATTGTAACTTTTAACGTAGCTTTAACAATTTTTCAGTCAGATCGCTACGATGTCTGTAGTGTGGCAGTTTATAGTGAGATGTCTACCAATGGGGCATCAATGCCGCAGACATGTAGCATGATGTCCCACCCAGTCACATTATCCTGACACCAGGCTAACCAGTTCTAACACTAACCTCTTAATGCTGAGTGAGCGTGAAGCGAGGTAGCTATTAGTACCATTTTTGTAAGTCTTTGGTATGACTCGAGCGGGGATCGAACACAGGACCTCCCGCATCTGAGGCGGACGCTCAAACCATTAGGCCACAGGAACGGTTCTCTATTATGAGGAAAACCCTTAACATTATAACTGACGAAGGATACTATTGAAAGTATATAAAGATTTTAAAAGGCAATATAAATAAATTTGTTAAATAAATTGTAGATTTTGGTTTTGTGGTAGAGGAAGATCAAACTACCCCACATTAACTTCAATGGGGAAAATTGATGCACTTGAGTCAACCGGTCGGACCGCTTCTTTCAGCAAGATAACAATGGATTGACAGATAACGATATTACACGGTTAAATCAAAGTAACAGACAATGAAATCTGCATCTTATGTATACAAGGTGGCAACAACACGCCTATCATTTACACGTCTTCTCTTTAATATACAAAATACTGTCAAAAAGTACATTGAATTTTTAATTTGAAGACAGAATGTATATGGTAATGATTAAAAGATTAGGACTGTTTTCCAACAATACATAATTGAATTTAAAGTTAATTAGAAAATAATGTTGGCAGTGGTGATATATTGTTGTTATCGGGTGACTGTTGTATAATTTAAAGTATTGTCTGATGCAGCAACAATTTAAGGAAACCCAAAGACCAGTGTAAACTTGGATTATACCCTACTATTAAAACCAATGTAGAAAAGAACAGAACTTCAAAGGCTTATAAACAGTCTGCGACAGTAACAATGATGAGTATGAATGGGAGGACAAAGTGAATAGAATAATGCAGTAAAAAAAGGATTATGGTGGTGATAATCCCACTGGCAGTATGGCGGAGCATGTACACAGCTTTCTATGATATCTGACTGTAAGATGACACATGGAAATCACTAAGTGTGGACAAAATCAAGTTTAGAAATGCTCTCCCCCAGCGCTAACCCCCAAAATATAGACCATGAAAGAAATGAACAATATTGATATTGATAATAACAACTGCATGAGTTACTATAATTTATTGTTTCGAATGGCTTACAAACCTCTAATCATAGTCGTTGCTTTATTAATATCTGCAATTAAACATGCGAGTAACACATATTAATTCAAAAATAATTTAAGTTAGAACAGTAATAACCTAGCCAAGTGCTTTCTAGCGTCAGATTGATACACTGACAATTATTTCAATTAATGCTGCTGCTAGTTAAACAGTTAATTACCAATTAGGCTTTCTGTATCTTGAATCATATTTGTCTCCTGATGGAACACACCATTTTCTTGCTCCTACACCACCACCTACTAGACGTTTTAAACAATTATATTGTCATACATATTGAAGTCGCTATCGCATCATATATAACATCCTTTCATTTAAACGTTTATTTTACTTTTTCGACAAAATCTAAGTTTTGTCTTAATTTGAACTAATTCTTGTTCAATATTATCATCTAAAATTTCGCTCTGAATGTGTCAGTTTTCAGCTAATTGTGATATTTTACCTTCATCTCCTTACAACTGTTCTTGCAAGAATGCTTATATATATATATATATATATATATATATATATATATATATATATATATATATATATATATATATATATATATATATATATATATATATCAAAAACATAATTCACATATTCTGTTTTCAAAATCATCATTTCTACGGCATATACACATCCCTAAATTTTCTTTGTTTGTGTAGGAAATAATCTTTGCTGCAGGTGGAAGCTATTCTTTTTCTTAGTCGTAGATCCTCCTGCGCCGTTTGGCGCTTTGGGCAGCGAGTTCTCTTCATCGAGGTCGATCTCTCGCAGCAATGGTTTCAGCATCATCCAATGATATAGAAAATTTAATAATTTTCATGTTAAATCATCTGTTATGCTTTCTGTTAAATGTACATGTTCATAAAACCTCTAATTATTGTCTATCGTTAGCATTACTATTTCCTTGTGTATTTTTAATAATTATCTTTGAAGAACAGTGGGTTCAAAAAGATATTTAGATTGTGTCATTAGACCTTTTACGAATCTGGCGTAAATCCAGTATCCCTGTTTATGTTAATCTATCCGCCTCCCCCACCCTCCTAAAAACAAGTACAGTAGAACTTGGTTTTAGAGGTAGTTTTGCAAGATCTTACCTTTTAATCCGTTGATAAACTGCTAAGCCGTCAATTATGTTTATATTAAAGTGGTTGCTAAAGATCTGAGTCACCACCGTTTGGTAATTTTTACATGAACAATTTTACACGCCAGTAGTTAGTTTGACAGCATCGACGACCAGTAGTTAAAAGGTTACATATCCTATGAAAAGGTCTTTAAAGCAGTCAGAAATATGAACAATTTCAAGGCTCGTGGACTGGATGTTCTTTAGGTTAATTTATTTTTTTTACAAATAAAATACTGAGGACAATTTATTTTAAGGTTAATAGATAATCGATACAGGTCTTTCCGGTTTCTATAGCACAAAAGCGATGTATTATCACATGAATCCCTAAACCAGAGCAAAATATAATCTTTATCTGGTCTATTGTCATTGGAAAAGGTTTTGTCACCAGGCAATTTTCAGATAAATCTTGAGGGTTTTAAGGAGAATATTACATGGCCAAAATAAATAGGACATTTGAATATTTTATTAGAATATGCTCGTATCTATATCACTTAATCACATAACAAAGGTTGTTAGGATTTTATTCCAAACTTCAGTTTTTGCTAATTAGATTTAGAATCTCAAGCTTACGATTAAATTAATGCGTGCATACCACGCAGAAGTTATAGAATCCCAAAGTTTTGCTTGCATAAAAAGACATTTTTCTGACAAATGATAACGGCTATAACGGTAATGGCTATGACAGCAATGGCTACGATGGTAATAACTATAATGATAATGGCTATGATGGCAATGGCTATGATGGTAATGATTATGATAGTAATGGATATGATAGTAATGGCTATGATGGTAATGGCTACGATGGAAGTAATGGCTATGATGTTAATGGCTGTAATGGTAATGGTGATAGTGATGGCTTCGTTAGTAATGGCTATCATGGTAATAGCTATGATGATAATGGCTATGACAATAATGGCTTAGATGGTAATGGCTATGATGGTATTAGCTATGATTCTAATGGCTATGATAGTAATAGCTATGATAGTAATGGCTATGATAGTAATGGCTATGATAATAAAAGCTATGATGGCAATGGCTATGAGGGTACCGGCTCTGATGGTAACGGCTTCGTTGGTAATGGCTATCATGGTAATAGCTATGATGGTAATGGTTATGATGCGAATGACTATGATGATAATGGCTATGATGGTAATGGCTATGATGGTAATGGTTATGATAGTAATGGCTATAATGACAATGGCTATGATGCTATTGTTTGTAATAGTAATGGCTATGATGGTAATGGCTACGACAGTAGTGGCTATGATAGTAATGGTGATGACGGTAATGGCTATGATGGCAATAGCTATAATGGTAATGGCTATGATAGTAATGGATATGATGGTAATGGCTATGATAATAATGGCATAGTTGGTAATGACTATGATGGTAATAGCTATGATGGTAATGGCTATGATGGTAATGGATATAATGCTAATTGCTATGTTTGTAATTGGTATGATGGCAATGTCTGTGACAGTAATGACTAGGATGGTAATGGCTAGGATGGTAGAAGCTATGATGGTAATGGCTATGATAGCAATGGCTATGATGGTAAAGGCTGTAACAGTAATCGATATGGTGGTTATGTCTATAATGGTAATGACTATGATAGTAATGACTGTTATGGTAATGGCTATGATGGTAATGGCTATGATAGTAATAGCTATGATGGTAAAGGATATGATGGTAATGACCTCGCTGGTAATGGCTATGATGGTATAGCTATGACAGTAATGGCTATGCAAGTAATGTCTATGATGATATTTGCTATGATGGCATTAGTTATGATTATAATGGTTATCATGGTAATGGCTGTAGAAGTAATGACTATGATGTTAATGGCTGTAATGGTAATGGCTATGATAGTGATGGCTTCGTTAGTAATGGCTATCATGGTAATGGCTATGATGGTAAAGGTTATCACAATAATTGGTTTTGATGGTAATGGCTATGGTGGTAATAGCTATGATAATAATGGCTATGATAATAAAAAGCTATGATGGCAATGGCTATGATTGTATTGGCTGTGATGGTAATGGCTATGATAGAGATGTATCGGTGGTAATGGCTATCATGGTAATAGCTATGATGGTAACGGCTTTGATGCTAATGACTATGATGATAATGGCTATGATGGTAATGGCTATGACATTAGTGGCTATGATCGTAATGGCTATAATAGTAATGACTATGATGACTATGACTTCGCTGGTAATGGGTATGATGGTAATGGCTATGATGGTAATGGCTATAACATTAATGGCTATGATGGTAATGGCTACTATAGTAGTGGCTATGATAGTAATGGCTATGACGGTAATGGCTATGTAGCCAATGGCTATGATTTTAATGGCAGTGATGGTAATGACTATGATGTTAATGGCTATGATGGTAATGGCTATGATAGTAATGGGTTTGATAGTAATGGCTGTGATGGCAATGGCTATGATAGTAATGGCTATGATGGTAATGGTTATGTATGATAGTAATGGCTGTGACGGTAATGGCTATGATGATAATGGTTATAAATAAGATGGCTTCGTTGGTAATGGCTATGATGGTAATAGCTATGATTGTAATGGTTTTCATGGTAATGGCTATGATAGCAATGACTGATGTTAATGGTTGTGATAGTATGGCCATGATAGTGATGGCTTGGTTAGTAATGTCTATCATGGTAATAGCTATGATTATAATGGCTATGATGATAGTGGCTGTTATGGTAATGCTTATGACAATAGTGGCTATGAAGGTAGTGGCTATGATGGTATTAGATATGATTGTAATGGCTATGATGGTAATGGCTGTGATGGTAATGGCTATGATTAGTGATGGCTTCGTTGGTAAAGGCTATGATGATAATGGCTTTGAGGGTAAAGGCTATGTTAGCAATGGCTATGATGGTAATGGCTATGATGGTATT